ACATATACATATTATCTATTTACACACACACATAAATACATAAATAAATACATACATACATACATACAAACATACATACATGCATACATACATACATACATACAAACATACATACATACATACATACATACATACACACATACATACATACATACATACATACATACATACATTTAGAGATAGATAGGTAGATAGATAGATAGATTAGATTAGATTAGATTAGACTAGTTAGATTAGATTAGATGAGATTGAAATTAGATTAGATCAGATTAGATTAGACTAGATTAGATTAGATTAGATCAGATTAGATTAGACTAGATTAGATTAGATTAGATCAGATTAGATTAGACTAGATTAGATTAGATTAGATCAGATTAGATTAGACTAGATTAGATTAGATTAGGTCAGGTTAGATTAGACTAGATTAGATTAGATTAGATCAGATTAGATTAGACTAGATTAGATTAGATTAGATCAGATCAGATTAGACTAGATTAGATTAGATTAGATCAGATTAGATTAGACTAGATTAGATTAGATTAGATTAGACTAGATTAGACTAGATTAGATTAGATTAGATTAGATTAGATTAGACTAGATTAGATTAGATTAGATCAGATTAGATTAGATTAGATTAGATCAGATTAGATTAGACTAGATTAGATTAGATCAGATTAGATTAGACTAGATTAGATTAGATTAGATCAGATTAGATTAGACTAGATTAGATTAGAGTAGATCAGATTAGATTAGACTAGATTAGATTAGATTAGATCAGATTAGATTAGACTAGATTAGATTAGATTAGATCAGATTAGACTAGATTAGATTAGATTAGATATGTGTGTAGATCATCTGCATTGTTGATCTCCAGGACGGATGGCGATTTGGGGCGGCTTTCCTGTACAAGGGTGAAATCCACTTTGCGATGCTGACCCACCCAGAGGATCAACCTTTTTTTTCTGAGTTGGGGATGGTCAAACTTCGTGTGAATGGGCTCCTGATACTCAAGGAGACCATCGCTGGGGGTTTGTGGCAGCATGTGCCGCAATACCATGCAGATTGTTTAGATGGATGGTTTCCCAATTAGTTTTGAACTCGACGCTTGGAATCTTGAAACTAGAAAAACAGTTGCTTTCTGACTTTCTGCCCGTTTGTTTATCGTGCGGAGTGGTGCGAGTGATTGATGAATATATCTATATTGGTCTATATCTATATGCCCGGAGTGAATGTGGAACACCAAAACTTCAGGAGTTGACAGTTCTTCATCGTGCGCACCGGGATGGGCATGGCTGTGTGGAGTTTGCCATGGTAACGCATGCTGGGCTACATCAGCTCGCGTGCATTGTGATGTACACGTTCCACCCCAGTGCCACGCAAGCCCAGGCCCAGCATAGTCTACATAGGAAGCTCTTTCTTCAGGCGGAGCATGGCGGGGCAGTGATTCAGTGACAATGCTTGGCTTTCAAACCCCAAACCCACAAAAGGAAAAGTGTTTTTTGGGGCCCTTGGCAGTGGCAAACCGACGGGACAATTACAAGACCCAGTCATGAGTCTCGAATAGTTTGTTTGTTTCTGAGGATTTGTCATGGTTCTATTTTTCCAAAGTATCAACACATGATTTAACTTGTAGCAGTTTTTGAATACAAAAGCTTGCCACACATGTCATGTCAAGTGTGGTATTTCCAGCACGTGCGCCGTTGTCAGGACCTATGCGTTGATCAACAGCTAGGACATGGCATAGGTGGGCAGGAGCCTCAGAAGCCTGAGTTAATGCCATCAACTCGAAAACATAACATCACTTCGCATCATTTTCAATTTTTTTTGGTTCAAAAAGAAATGAAACTTGTAGCTACAGCCTGTCTTTTGAAGATAGTTTTGGATGCCTTAGAACGAGAAAACTCAAAAAATGACGATAAATTTTCAAAACCCTAAGCCCCAAAACCCTAAACCCTAAACCCCCACCCCAAAAAAAAGGGCAGCATTCCCCCCTGTATCATGGGATCTTGGGTTTTGAAATTTTGTGGGTCCACAAAATTTCAATTCAGAAATTGTGGGCCCACAAAATTTCAATTCAGAAAATTGTGGATCCACAAAAAAAATTTCACTATTGAAACTTTTGTGGGAACACAACTTTTCAATTCACGAACTTGTGGGTCCACAAAATTTTGAAATCACACTTGTGTTTCCACAAAGTTGCCATTTTGGTGATTTCAACACTTTGTCATTCTCGGCCGTCCTTGGAGATCATTGCTTGTGTCGGTTGAGAGGGTTTTCGTGTAGCCAATGCAACGAATCTCATCCAGTTACTGAACTGGATGAGATTCGTTTGTCTGATGTTGTGCAGAGATTTCTGCAAGCATTGAAATGGGGGCCTTTCTTGGACGGGGGAATATCATTTCCCCAACTGGATGAGCTTCGTTTGTGTGATGTTTTGCAGAGATCTCTGGACTGCGGGGGCTTGCAAGTTTCTGTGGACAACTCTGTTTATATGACGGCATCCCGTGTGCCCAGGACATCGTTTGCGCATGGGGGTGCCTGGCGGCTCAATGATCATAGGGGATGTGCTGGGCGATGTGAAGGCATGTGAAAACTTATAGGTTCAACGATCATACAAAGTTTGCTGACGCATATGTGGGTTTATACAAGAGATCTTGCATGGGCAGCCACATGAAGCCAGTGTCAAAACAGCACATGCGCGGCCACTTTTAGACAGTTGAGCCGCTTCAGGTACAGGCACTCTGCAGCACGGATGGGACCAATTAAAGGCTGGAATGTGGGTCACAGATCTATGCACACCTTTGCACTTTCATGGACGTTGTAGCACGAGTGGACCCAAATCTAACATTACAACATTCAGTGGTGACATGCATATATCGGATGCATTGCCCCATGTGCCCCCATTGTGATTGCTCGTTGCGCAGGTCTTCGATGCAACTGCGAGAACCATGAGGCGCCAAACATGGGTTGAGGGTTGATGAGAAGTGGTCAAGTGATGAAAGTGGTGTTCATTCAATCTCTGTAGATACACATCAACGCTTGCATCATTGAGGTTTCTCTGGATGAATCCCTTGGATTAAATCTGTTTTTGTGAAGCCGGTTGCATTGCTCCGCAGACGGATGGCTTAGAGATTTTCAATGACTCATGCCACACCACACTCACAGCAGGAATTGTCACACTTTTTTTTTTCGTTTTGTGCCACTGTGGGGCTGCAAGGGCATTTAGTATGTTTGTGTATGTTTGTTGTCACCCAAGCATACCCAATCCCAAACAGAATCGCCTCGACATTTGGGTTTACCACCTGTAGACTTGTATTTACTTTTCTCCCTATACACATTCACATCCGATCAAACCCTTTGGATTCCTCGGCAAGTCATCCCTGAATGTTGCTGCAGGTGCAGCCAGTGTATATATATATATGTATGAATATAACTATTCTTAATATTCACATATATATATATATTTATATGTATATTCACACACACACACTTATATATATATATATATATATGCACATTCCCGCCTGGTCAGGTACGGCCAAGTTCCCATTTGGGGTTTCCAGCACATAAGCACGACATTATACTAGCCTAGCAGCAGGGCATCATAGCCTCACACATCGGTGCCTCACACATCATAGCATCATAGCCCAACGGTGCCGGTGCAATGGTGGCGGTATGGGATGACACGGGCAACCGCCTGCAGCAGCAGCAGCAGCAGCGGCAGGACGATGATGATGATGAGTGGTGGGGCCCCAAGTGGGGCCCAGGCGAATCTCGGCCAGCAAAATCAGTGAGCACATGGGTTCGAATCATGCCTCCATGTAGTTTCATGCAACATGCAGGTCTTTGCATGGCATTGTAGGACGCTTGCACGTTGGCATGACACATTCCAAGGGTGTCCATGCGGAGCATGGCCATGAAGAAGGTGAGGAGGAGGAGAACTCAGATGTAGAGGAATGTGCCATCAGGGTTGACTGATTGGATGTCATGCAGTGGAGGTTCATCAATTCTATGTAAATACATACATACATACGTATATATATATATATTTATATATATTGTTATTATAAAGATACATTTATATATATATACATGTATACATGTATGTATATATACATATATGTCTGTGCATATATAAATACATATACTTATATATATATACACACGTTTATATCAATGGTCATCTTCGAGAGTTCATTTCACTATAAACTGTTCGGTTTGCATGTAGGTCGTATGTACATTGATTGCTTGTGCAGGAGACCGTGCACTCCTCGCCGAAGGATGACGATGAGGTGGAGGACCTGCATGGCAAATCATGCATATCTTGTATAGATACTTGTAGAGTCCACCCAAGTCAGCACGAGTGTGGTGGAAAGCGATGTGCTATCTGACTTGCAGGAGGTGTTGCCCGTGCCCGAGCCACCGATGCCGCCGGCTCTCATGCGGCCCCAGACCAAGAAGATGCCGCAGAACAAGAAGATGCCCAAGCCGCCCTGGCACCAGCAGCAGGACTCCCATGTGCTGCTCAGTTGTTTCACGTCAATGCAACGATGCATGAACTTTTTTGTCTTGTCCTTCTGCATGTGAAAAGGTGTTCTGTTTGCCTGATTGGTTTGATGCCTGCAGGAGGCCAGCGGGCGCCAGCATGATGAGCAGGGCAAGGGGGTGGTGGTGCCACAGCCACTGATGCCGCCGCCACCACCACCTGCTGCACCACCTGCAGCGACCACGCAGGTGGTGCAGTGGTGGTGTGGAAAGAAGGACCTTCGGTGGCACTGTAAAGTTTGAACATTAAAATCTTGAATTTTGCTATCTTGAAATCTTGAAATGCAATTTGTTGCAATAGGGGTTTTTGTTGCAATCTTGAAATGCAATTTGCAATTGACTTTTGGCCTTTAATACTTTGAACCATGATTGATCGGTTGATTCCTACCCCTAAGGAGGTCCACTACCAGGATGGCAGGGTCTGGGTGGACGGGAAGTGGAAGGCTGCTGACGAGATGCAGACCTACAGGGAGGGCCAAAGCACCAGAACCCGCAGCCGCACGCGGGGAGGGGCTGTCGTGCGCGCCAAAGACTCTTTGTTGCATTGGTTTGCACAGTTTATACACACATGTGTAAGTACACAAGTGTCCTGTTAATGCTTGATGCATGTTTTGCACAGTTTATACACACATGTTTAGGTACACAAGTGTACTGTTAATGCTTGATGCATGTTTTGCGAGACTGGCCCAGCAAAATCATGTGTATGCATGGGAATGTATAGGTTGAGTTTCTACGTGCTTAGTAAACTTGTGCAGCATGATGTTTGCCCACTTATTGTGCATGCAGAGTATCGCACGTTCTTTGAGGAGACCTTCCAGCAGCTGCGCGACACCACGAGCCAGGTTGCTTGGCTTTGTCAAAGATGAAATACATGGTGTATTCATTGAATGCATGATGGCCACGCATGTGTCAGAGAGCAGTGCCCATGCCTTTGGAATGTGTCATAGCATGAATTGGCTGCAAAGGATTTTGTCCTCAGTGAATGTCATTGAGCTGAGGCATCCAGCTCGAGCAGTGGCCTGACTGCGGAAGAGCGCATGGCGACCCTCCGCGGGGTGAACCAGCTCGCGGATGTGCTGAAGGAGGCCATCAAAAGGAAGTAAAGGAAGTGAAACATGCATCGAAGGCCATAGCCATGGGCCATAAATAAAATTCCCATAAAATGCGGCCATTGGCCATGTAAAAAACATAACTAGCAAAGCTAACATAAAGAAATTGCATGGGCCATTCAAACTTCCATTCATGGCTTCTAGCAGCAAATTAAATTTAGACAGTCATAGGCGTGGATGAGGTGGCCAGAGCATCCATGCAGCGTGGCAATGTGGACCCAACGCTAGCAGAATGGGGGCGCCTGAAACGGTATATAATTAACCAGTTCTCAAAAAATACCCCCTAAAGTCCCTAAAGGTCTCCTGCTGTAATGTTGGTACAAACCTCACGTCATATGACATGCCATAAACGGGCGCCCGCACTCTGAGCATGGCAGCATGGACGCTGCACCCAAATACGAAGCATTGCACAGAACCGTTTCACCCTTTTTTGCTTTTGGTTCTGGCTGATCTGGTGTGGTGTTTGTGGAACCTTATATATATATATACACACCCTTTCAACTAGTTTCTGGCCAAAGAAGTAGCAGACAACAGTTGTCAACCATCAATCTGGGTAATTTTTCATCAAGGATCAGCTTGGAAACTGCATGCCCTGCACGTTGTGAAGTGACAATGCATCAAGTGATATTCAAATCTATAACGGCCCATGATGTGTGATGATCACAAAAAAAAGCAGAAACATAAACTTGTGCTGATTGTCAACTTCACTAATTAAGGTTCGCTTGCTGTTTTTTGTCGCAGCGTGCAACTGGGATGGCGGTCAAACGTTTGCATCCAATGTTGTCCATTTAGACCCATCAGTTTTTTTTCAAACAGACACTCAAACGCTCAAGATATAGAGAGAAATTCAGATGGAGAAGAACCACCATAATTCATTTCTCACCACAGGTAAATCATGTAGAAGCAATGTTTGCCGTCCTCACTTAATTGGTCAGTTTCAAAATTTCAAAGACCAAAGACTTGTTTTGGCCACGCAGGATTGCGGCACAAAAAAAAATGAGCATGGGGCGCAATACGGGTGGGATGAGGTTGAATCCAAGTCTTCCTGCATTGATGATGGGTATGTACATGCATGGGATCCAGTTGAGACTTTTTAATTTGAGATTTCTGGCCTTGATGTGTCTATGGATGCCCCCTCAACTTTCAAGATTGCCGCACTCCATCGCTGGGCAGGTGGTGCTTGCAATCTTCGAGTCAGGACAGGTGTCATGAGTGGACATGGGTGGTCACGGATCCTTTCCACGTTGTTGCGTGCAAGAGGGTTGAAGATATGTTGATATATTTTGTTTTTCTGAAATACCACATGCGAGCAATTGCCCATCATGCTTTCATCCGTGCAATGGGGTATCCAACTTTTGACCAGCCATGTGCACCCCCGGACACATGCCCCAGTACAAAGAAAATGCAGCATTTGCCCAACCTTCCCCAATCAATTTATATATATATATACACATATATTTATATATAAATAATATATAAATATATTTATATATATATATATTTATATTTAGCCACCATGCATCTTACGGCGTGCATCCCATGCACCTGCAGGACCCATGGCATTGGCTCGATGCTTCGAGGCCAGAATGATTAGATTAGATTAGATTAGATTGGATTAGATTGGATTGGATTAGATTAGATTAGATTGGATTGGATTGGATTAGATTAGATTGGATTAGATAGATAGAGAGATAGAGAGATAGAGAGATAGAGAGATAGATAGATAGATAGATAGATAGAAAAATATATATATATATCTAGTTATATCTATAATAGATAGGTAGATATAGATAGATAGAGAGTACCATGCATCTTACGGCGTGCATCCCATGCACTTGCAGGACCCATGGCATTGGGCTCGATGCTTCGAGGCCAGAATTAGCCGGGTCGATTGTTGCATCTAGCTGGCTGGGCAGTTGCGCTCGCCAGCATCTTCACATATAGAGGGGACTTAAGAGGCTCAAAACTTACTTGGCTTTCCTGTTTGGAGATTAGGGAAGAAATCTGGAACATGCAAGAAATTACATTGTCACTGCATCGAACTGCATAGGTTTTCATTCAGTTCAATTCACCGAGGACAAAAGCTGACAATGCATGCGAGAGCGCAAGTGTTGTTTGGTATGAGTCATATGAGTGTAGTTTTCAAGTTTGCCCATCTTTTTTGAAATTAAGGGTTCAATTTGTCAGCTGTCAATTGCAGACCAGCAGTCCACAACTGAAACTAATCCCCAGAATAGAAGACCTTTTTTTCTAAACCACGTCACCTGGCAGGCAACCAATTGTTTGTTGTCCTCACCTCGCTGCGTGCCTTCCACCCAGGATGAGGCCTGCATGGGACACGTCCAGTGTTGATCTATATACATGGAGTCGTCAATCCGTGAATGCAGCAGCCGACTCCATGCATACTGCAGGTGATTTAAGATGTATCAAGACTCCTATAGTAGTCTGTAGATGTGACTAGAAAACGTTCGGACCATCATGTCGCACAAGTCTGCTGGGTCCAGCGAGGGCTCGCAGATGCTCAGTGATCTTGATGGCATCCAGCGCTTCTTGGAACGGCAAAAGCAGCTGATCTCAGATGCAGCCACCTTCGACAAGATGGTCGACAACCAGGTGAAGGTGTGGATGAACCGGCTGCGTTCCTGCAAGATCACAGCTATAGAGGCCACCCAGCTCTCCGAAGCCTTGGCCAATGGTCCATGGAAAAAGGATCAGCTAGATACGTTTGGCAAGGTGCTTTGTGAGCAAATGGAAGAACATGTGGAATTGAAGGGCAACAAAGGGAATAAGCGACCATCACAGGTCGTGAAGGCTTTTGCAGCCTACTTTACCGCCAATGACATGGAGCTCATGGCAGACTCCAAGAAGCACAACAACACGAAGCTCGAGCTTCTTGCTGACAAATGCGTCAATTTGGGACTCCATCTCCCGACAGAAAAAGTGGCCACGCACATCGTGAAGTCGGCAGTAGACTGTAGCTTGGATGAAGTTTATCATTCGCTGCGTGCATGCATGGTCAGTGTGATTTTGGATACGTGTTGGCCACTGGTTCATTGTTTGCACATGTTGTCTCTTCATCATGAGCTTACCCTGGCAATTTGCCAAACTCTTTCAGGTGGCATGAAGTCGGAGGATTCGGCGACCTTTTACAAGCTGGTGAGGGAATTCAAAGATATGCTCCGAAGCAAGATCAAGCATCTTGAGAAGGTGCCTTTGATGCAAACGTTTCCAGACAGTCCTTTCGACCTCCCCAAAGAAGTTTTCGATCGAGTCTTTCCTCCAGACAACCAACCGGTGCAAGAATGCACTGCCAGCCTTGGAATGTCTGCCGGGCTACCCAGCCGCAAGAGTCATGGCTCTGTGAAGGGAAAAAGGAAACAGTCCTTTCCTGAAACCATGTCCACAGCAATGGAAGAAGCCCCCAACATGATGATGCAAATGATGTCAATGTTTCAAATGATGATGATGCAGCAGCAAGGCATGAGTGCCGACTCTCTTGGGCTGGAGGTGTTTGCAAACAAAAGATCCAAGAAGGCTCCCAAGGCCATTATGGACAAGCCTGCAGAAGAGCCTGGCGACAATGATGCTGCAGAAGGCCCAAGAGCTTCCACAAGCAGTCCGCCGACTACTACGCCTAGACAGAGTGCTCCCCAGAAAACACCAGAGAGCGCACAGAGTACACCGCCTGCGCCAGCAAAGCAGCTCTTTGCGACGTCCCCTGAGGGGACCAAGAGTCCAGAAGACTATGTTGCAAACTTGCAAGCTGCCTTGAAGAGCCGCGAGAAAAGCAAGGCACAGCAGAAGAAAGACAACAGGCAAGATGATGAAGAGGAAGAACCTGTGAGGAAAAAGCCTGCGGCAAAAGCGAAGAGCATTGCCAAGAAGACGGAAGAAGAAAAAGAAAGCAAAGAAGTGGACAGTGCTTCTGTGAAAAAGACTGCAGCCAAAGCCAAGGCCGCTGCGAAGAGCGCCCCAAAGGCGTCAGCAGGCAAGGCCAAACCGAAGGCGGCTGTCAAGAGCGCGGCCGCAGAGCCACCGAGGGAAGGCGCCTCCGAGCTGCCAAACCCACCAGTGCCGTGGAATGGCACATTCTTCTGGCTCGAGGGCAAAGTGCATCGCAACCCAGCGGCCACTTGTTGGCGAGTGTTCATCAACAAATCAGACAGGAACGACAAGAAAGTCAAGTTCGGAGATGATGAGGTCGCATCATTTCACAAGGCACTCCGGTTGATCGAAGATGGGATTGCCCTTCGGAAACGCGCTGAGGTGGCAGAGAATGTGGATTAGAGATTCTTCGCGTTGGTCAAAAAGACTTTGCCGTTTTCCACATGCTGGAGGATGTGTATACAAAAACATCGGTTTGCTATAGCACGACTTTTTCTGTCTAGTTTTGTCATCATCCAAGGGAGATGAAGTCATGTGACAGCGTTCGTTTCCTGTTGATGCCATCAGCATGCAAGAAGAAATCATGCGATGGAGTGTGTTTCCTGCTGATGCCATAAGCGTCCGTCGCTTTTTTCAGCAATCTGTGTGTGTGTGAACACTGTGTTAACATGCTTTCACATGTTTTAGATCGAACGTATAAGACACATGCATCTTGCTCTATACTACACCGCATGGCAATTACCACATGGAATCATTATCGAAAGGGGCTTTTTTCCCATCCTGCTCCATAGAAAGGTCTATATATTGTATGTATGTGGCAATGCATAATGTAACGAAATCGAAAGGCATGTTCTTGCCATCGTGGCTGTCTATTGTGTGGCAATTATCACATGGAATGAGCATCGAAATACATGCCCTTATTATTTTTCAAAACAACAAATCATATCCTGCATGGTGGCTTTAAACAGGCTGTGACTTGTGGCACGCCTGCACGAGCCATCATTGCATGCAATGGCGATCGAAGTTGGACGACTTGGTAGACGCCACGTAATCTCACGCAGTGGCTTGGAAGCCGTGCTGAAGGACCTCAAAGACAGAGAGTTTCCATC